TGGGTGAGCACATGTGCCCTGTAACAATTTTTTTAAAAAAAAGAAAAAGAAAAAGCAGGCAATTAAACAAAAAAGAGGGATCAGCAAATGGTGTAACAGTTATGTGGCTGGACTTCCATGTGATCAACCAGTTTGAGTCCTGGACCTAACAACTTGAAACTCACGCCAGGCTCGTGTGCATGCATGCCCAAAATCCCAAGAGAAGAATGAAAGAGAAGAGACTGCAGTGTGTCCAAACCCCTGGGGGGGGGGAGGTTCTTGTTTTCTGTCTCTCTGCCTTTCTGTCTCTCTGGCGAGCACACGCACCCTATATCAAAAATCTCCCTTAAAAAATATAAAATATAATTTTAAAAGACTACAGTGACATACCACACTATTGGCAAAAATCAAAGCTGACAATACCAAGAGTTGTGAAGGATACAGATCCACAGAATCTCTTATTCATTCCTAGTGGGCGTATAAATTGGTACAAATGCTTTAGGAAACATCCTGGGTATTATGTAAGATGAACATTCACATTCCCTACAACCCAGTGATCTCACCCAAAAATGTCTACAAGAATCTTTGTAGTGACCCATCAATAGGAAGATACATAAATAAATAATGCTACACTATGGACTTTTAAAAAAAGATGAAGTAAAACTAAATAAGAAAGAAAGAGATGGTGACCAGGATATGGGATGATGGCTATACTGGATTGGAGGAGCCCAAAAGATGAGATAACATGGCAGGGGATAGGGCACCAAAAATATATGCCCATTTTCTCCAAAAGCCTTCAGTATCACACAGCAGCACTCTACTGCCTGCACCACTGCAGCTGAGCCAAAAAAGGAAAAAATTGAGGGTGGTCTTTTTCTTTTCCTTTTTATTCGTGACAAAGATTGTGCATGGTGTTGGGGTGGGGGTGGGAGGGAGGGCTAGAGCAGCCTCCACAGGGTCTGATCACACTGGGATCCCCTTCCTCCAGTCCTCCAGATTGTCAGATCCTTTGGCACTCATGCATATACCCAGCATGATTCAGGCTGACTGAGCCAGGGATTCGAACCGTGTTTGCCTTGTGGTTTCCAACACTGCAGTTCAACAAGTTACTGACTTCTGGTCTTTGCAAACCAAGAAATGGTGCTGTTCCTTCTCCAGCAGCCACATCACCCTATTAGGTAAGCCCAACTATATCAGCTCCTAAGGAAAAAGAATCCTGGTTTAAAAATTTTCACTCAGTGGGACCAGCAGATGGCATAATGGTTACATCGCTGGACTCCTACATAGTTGACCATGGTTCAAGTCCTGGACCTGGTGGTTTAAATCTCACACATTTGTGTGTGCACTCAAGATCCCAAGAGGAAAACAAGAAGAGCTAATGGTGAGGTCAACCTCCTGGGGGGGGGGTTGATTTCCCTCTTTCTGTCTCTCTCTCCAGCAAGCACACATGCCCTATAGCATCTCTCTTAAAAAAAAAAAAATCATTCAGGGCCAGTTAGTGGCATGGTGGTTAAGGCAGCTGGATCCCAAGCAGTTCAAGTCTCAGACCTGGCAGCTTGAAAAACACACTGGGTGCATGTATGTACATGCCCAGAATTTCAAGAGGAAAATGGAGAAAAGACTGTGGCATAGACATCTCCCCCTGGAAGGTGCTTCCTCACTTTTTCTCCCTCTCTCTTTCCAGTGACCACACGCACCCTATAGCATTTTTTTCTTTGTTTTTTTTTTTAATTCTTCCACTCCATTGTCAGCTCACAAACACCTGCATCTTACCTGGAGAATTACTGAGAGCTGGACATCCAGGGAAGGCTAGAGCAGATAACACATGCCCTGTGATGGACACGGACTGAGCATTAAATGACCCTCCCTGCAGCTGTCAGATTATGAGTGATAAACCTAAGGATGCTGTCCTTGCCCCATGCTGGCGGGAATGCCATGCCTGGTTTAGATGACAAGATCCAGATCAGAATGGAGAAAGGAGAGTGGTGTCACACATCCGAAATGGTGGTTCTGGCTCCACCTCAGAAGGGCTCTTCTGCAGATGGAAAGTTATTCATCTCCAGGGGCATTTAGACCCATAGCCAGTAAGGTGGGTATCCCTGGATAAATCATGGAAGCTTGTTTATTCAGCCTCAGTGCCCACTCCTGGCCCACCTCACACGGAATTAAGTCAGAGTGCAGGGATGTGTAAACGTCACGAATCATTCATTCCACCCAGGCAAGTCAAGCAATAATTCCACCCACCTAGAAATGTCCCAACATGAAGTGACAGAGCTGCAAACACACACACCAGGGCCTTGTTCTCACTCCCTCTTCATGTGCCCTTCTAACTAGTATTTGTCTCCACAATCTTATCAACAAGCAGTAAGAATGTTTCTTAGTTATCCAGAGACTCTGTACATTTCAAATTACCTTGAAATGCCAACGGTCTACACATAGTTATATTTTAGGAAGAGAAAATGAACTATCTTTTCTTTTTCAATTAAAGCAAAATATGAAAGCAGGCTGGCCAGGTGGCATGGTAGTTAAGGCAGCTGGATCACACATGGCTGACAGCGTGATTTGGGTCCCAGACCTGGCATCTTGGAAAAAAAAAAAAGCATGAGGTTTTACAATAGGCTTCCCTGCCACTGTGGGACCCTATATTGTAACCGTGACCTTGACCTCCACAGTTTAGTAGTAGCCAGTAAATTCGGATAATACACAAATGCTGAGCCCCAGGGTGAGTGGGCAAGCACAAACTATGGAGTGTAAGAGGCCTGAGTCTGAATCTTTCTCCACCACCTACTGGGCTGATGACTTCAGATGACAAGCTATGTCCCCCTTTCAAACCTCAGGACTTATTTGCATAACAGGACAAGCTGGAACCCACCTCACAGCATGGTTGTGAGGGTGAAATAAACAAATGGAGTACATGGTCCACAGCCGATATGCCCTGTGTTTCACTTCCCTTGCCTTAAGCAGAGTGACATTTATAGCAAATCACTTACAGTCCCTGTCACTATATGTCTTGGTGAAATGTTTGCATCCATTCCTGACAGAGCATGGTGAGATCAAAGTACCATTTGGAAAAGGTATTTTTTGAAAGGTATCTTTTTTCTCAGTCCCTTAATTTTAAGGATCCTGTGTTCTGTGTCCTATATAAGGTGCAGCTGAGTGGGCCAAGGGGCAAGACACCATATGAGAAGAGTACATTAGAAATACATCTCAGGGTCAGCAGGTGGTATGGAGGTTGGGGCACTGGATACCACGTGGCTGGCTCTGTGGTTTGAGTCCCCAACCTGGCAGCATGGGAGTCATGCCAGGCACGTGTGCGTGTGTGCCCAGGATCCCCAGAGGAGACTGGAGGAAAAGGGATTGTGGTGTGGCCATCTCCCTTGGGAGTGATTTCTCACTTTCCCTTTCTCTGTGTGTGTGTGTCTTTCTCTCTCTAGTGAGTGCATGTGCCCTATAGCAAACACACACACACACACACACACACACACAAAGAAAGAAAGACAAGGAATACATCTCAGGCTGGCCGTGGGGGCGGCAGTAACATAATGCTCCACAATACTTAAGTCACATGGGAAGGTCCTGGGTTCACAGCCTGAGGTTTCTCTGTACACACTGGACACACACAAGTGTGCCTGTGATCCAGGCTGGCTGAGGCTAGGATGGAGTGCAGCTTGAAAACCCTGTTGGACCCTCAAGAGTATCTCTTTTATGCTCCATCTCTCTCAATAAATATATAACTTTAGAAAAGAAAGAAAGAAAGAAAGAAAGAAAGAAAGAAAGAAAGAAAGAAAGAAAGAAAGAAAGAAAGAAAGAAAGAAAGGCAGACCTTTTTCCCCTGCCAGGGATTAAAGACATCCAGTGATTCCCCCATCTTAGATAGAAACCATCACTTTACTCCCCCAGAAACAAAGTCCCAAATTCTCAGGGGCATCATAGATTCACTCATCTTATAGAAGTTGTGTCCCAAAAAGCCTAGGAAGGACAATATAAACCTTGTGGTGGGTGACCTGGACAGATACAGTTGGCCAAGTGAAATGAGCAAAGTGACCGAGTTTCAGCAAATAGCAAAGCAAGGCCCACCTGTTTGCAAGAGTGAAGCAGTTTCTGAATGTGGCTCCAACCTGCGTCACAGACCTCACCTGGGAACTCACCAGAAAAGCCTCCCCAGTGGCCGGGCCCAGCATTCTGTGTTTCAACGAGCCCTTCAGGGAATTGTGAAGCAGAATCACTGCTATAGAGTGATCTGAGATCTCAAAGCTTAAATCAACCATCCTCGGGAAACATACCCAGGGAACAGCCAAAAAGAAAGAAAAGGGGGCCTTGGGTAACTTCCTCCCTTCAGCCAGTTTCCGTGGGAAGATAGTGTTAGCCATCTCGTGGCCAGACTTCAATTTTGAATCCATGCTATTTTTGTAATGAAAAAGGAGAGAGCACCACACTTCTTAGTTCTCCATGAACGGCCCAGATGGGCTTCTGAGAGGCAGGAGCTGGTCTGATCCGTCTGCGAGTCTGCCGTGCCCAGCCAAGGCCCGGCAGCCCACAGGCTGGGAAGCAGGTTGGGAAAGGTGGGAAGCAAACTAAGTAACTGCTTGAAGCAGGAACAAGCAGTATTTCCCTGAGTGGGTCCCAAGGTGTCTGTTCCCCTCAATCCTGGCAATTATCTTAGATCCTGAATCAGTAGGGGCAAGAACTTTGAAAGGCTGACTCCACCTGGCTGACCCAGACCCCACAGCTACCAAGTCCAGAGGGGGATTAAGGCCCCAGATCACTCCCCTACTCCAGTTCCCTGTTCACCCCCCTAAACCCAAACTTTCCAGAGGTCATGTCCATAGGTCAAGCCCACCCTTGCCAGAGGTCAGGGCAATCGGCCTTTAGCGGTTGGCCAGGGACATTACCTCTCCTGCCAGAATGCAGGTTCCCAAACATCCCCAGGCTAGTGGCAGTGTGCCCCAACCCTGGAGCCCCCCATTACCACCCTGCGCCCCGCCCTCCAGCCTGGGATGGCCCTCCTGGCACTTCCATACCTGTAGTAGGACAGCAGGCCGTTGCCGAGCACGAACCAGCGGCGCTGGTAGCCCTTCAGATAGTTGGTCCACTTAAGCAGCCAGCCCTTGAAGCTGTCCAGAGGCAGTAAAACCACTGGGGCACTGGAGGTCTGGCCAGTTCCTGACACTGGAACCCCAAGCGGTGTCTTCGCCTGTCCTGGTCGCAGAAGAGGCTGGGATTTTAACGCCGGCATAGACGCTGACTCGGGTTTGAGCAAGGGTGAGCTCCCCACTCTTGACCCCAGCGGAGGCGATTGTTCTGATGTGGCTTTGGTAAAGGGCCCAGCCCCTCTTCCTGGGCCCGGCTCTGACCCTGTCAGCAACCGGGGCAGCAGTTCCGATATCTGCCCAGCCCCTGGCCCGGGTTCGGACACACGCTCGGATCTTGGCAGCGGCTCAGAAACTGGCTCCGACACCTGTTCTGACAGCGGCGGCCGCTCAGGTTCGGGCACTGGCTGAGGCTGAGGCTTGGGCTCCGGCCCG